TGCGATCACCCTCGGCCGTGAACTTTAGCTCGTAGGTGCGATTGGAATGGAGGAGGAGGGGGAGGGGGGGGTCATGTGTTTAGGCCTATCGAAAAAAACAGCGGCGGCTTCTTTGCAGAGTGATTGGGGAGGGGGGGGTGAATGAGTAGGGGGGGAAAGGGAGGGGGGGATAATGTGCCTAACAGTGTTTTGTGGTTTTTAGGCCTAGGGTATACTAATGCATTTTATATTCCTGTTGAAAATTGGAGTTTGGTCTTATATTAATATCCTTATTATTCTGATTCCTAGCTACTTATTCATAGATGGTGATGCTGATTATGAAGAGAGGAAAGAAAGGAAATGGTGTTGATTGTGACTTCGAAGGAACACGATTACATTTGGCACGTCAATGGCGAGAAAATGCATTCCGACGCCCATGTGTCAAGGGCGCTGTTGGGCGGTCATTCCAACCCGACACTTGCTATGGCCACGCCTGTTTCTGCCTCTTTCATTCTCGTTCTCTCTCTCTCTTTCTCTTTCTCTTTCTCTTTTTCTCTTTCTCTTTCTCTTTCTCTTTCTCTTTCTCTTTCTCTTTCTCTCTCTCTCTCTCTCTCTCTCTCTCTCTCTCTCTCTCTCTCTCTCTCTCTCTCTCTCTCTCTCTCTCTCTCTCTCTCTCTCTCTTCTCTCTCTCTCTCTCTCTCTCTCTCTCTCTCTCTCTCTCTCTCTCTCTTTCTCTCTCTCTCTCTCTCTCTCTCTCTCTCTCTCTCTCTCTCTCTCTCTCTCTCTCTCTCTCTCTCTCTCTCTCTTTCTCTCTCTTTCTCTCTCTTTCTCTCTCTTTCTCTCTCTTCTCTCTCTCTCTCTCTCTCTCTCTCTCTCTCTCTCTCTCTCTCTCTCTCTCTCTCTCTCTCTCTCTCTCTTTCTCTCTCTCTTTCTCTCTCTCTTTCTCTCTTTTCTGTCACCCCTCTTACCTTCATTCTTCCTCTCACTCACTCCTTAATTTATGTAATATTTGCTATAAAATATGAGCAAACGGCCTTGACCCTTTGCCTCCCCCTCCTCCTCCTCTCTATCATCCACTTCTCTTCTTGCTCCACCTCCTCCTCCTCTCTCCGTCTCTCATGAAGGGTGCTTCTAGGCTACCTAATGATGTTTGCAACTTCCTCTTCAATATCATATTGCACCAGGTTCCTTTCCTGACACTCAAGTGGCCTCCGGAAGGACCATGTCTGCCGGAGGTAAGGGGGGCACTGAGGAGGGGAAGGGGGTAAGCGGGGTGGCAGCGAGAGACGGACGGCGGTGTTGGCAGACCCAGTAGTTAACAAGCGCGGTGGTGTTGACGGGCGCAGTAGTTAACGAGCACGGGGATGTTGACGGGCGCAGCGGTGGTGGCAGTATCAACGGGGACTCGAGATAGAGCCGCCCGACGTATACGAAACCATTATGTGGCTACATTCTAGCATGCGTCAGCGGAGGAGGAGGGGAGGAGGATGAGGAGGAGGCGGGACTCCTTGTAATATCGCCGCATTTGCCACAGAATCAATGCCACGGCGCGCCACAGTACGCAGTGTTCGTTGTCGTTGCCTCTTAGAACGCCGGAGGGTCGGCCGGGCTGTATTCCGGCAGCCGGCGGGTTTGGCACGTTATGTGCACACACCTCTTGTGGGCGTCCAATCAAGCGGTAAATCCTACCCCCCCCTCCCCCCTTTCCAGTCCCAACCCCCTCGTGCAGTGCCAATAAACACGATCTACAAGGTGGCTATACACTTTCTCTTTTCATATTGCCTTCCCACTTGTCATGCAATTCACTTAGGCCTAGGTCGCAGTCTCTCCTTTTCCTGTGTCTTACTTCTCTTCTCTTTTTTCTTTTTTTTTTTTTTTACTTTATTCCTCTTTTATGTCTTCACTATTCCGTTTTTTATCTTGCTCCATGTTCCTCACTCGCTTCTCTCTCTCTCTCTCTCTCTCTCTCTCTCTCTCTCTCTCTCTCTCTCTCTCTCTCTCTCTCTCTCTCTCTCTCTCTCTCTCTCTCTCTCTCTCCCCCTGTATCTCCCTGTATCTCCCTCTCTCTCCCTTTCTCCCCCTCCCTGGATTCCTTTTTTCCTTCTCCTTCCATCTCTTCCTGTCTCTATCACCTACCCTCTCTCCTCTCTCTCCCCCTTCTCCCTATCCCCCCTCTTTCTTCGCTCGCTTCCCTTCTCTTTCTTTCTTCTCTCCTCTCCCTCTCCCTCTCCCTCTCCCTGTCCTTGCCCCCCCCCCCACTTACCCCCTTCCTGAAAAATGTGAAACAGAAATAACAGCGCAGATCTCCCTCGCACGTTCCCGGATTTTAATAGAGCCCCGAGCAGCGTAAAGCTTGTTTTAGTTTCATTTGAATGTGTGCATTTTCTGTTTCCTTTTTTTTTCTTTTTCTTTTTTCTTTTTTTTTAGCTTTTAGTCTTTAATTTATTTTCTTTATTGGTGATTTCCGTAATTGAAGTAATCACTTGTATTTTTTTTTTATCTTTCTTTCTTTTTTTCTTTTTTTTGCTATATTTTTTTTTATTTCTAGTTTATTGTCGTTCGTTTTAAAAATTAAAGGTCAGGGGGAAGAATGTCTATATCATATTGAGCACCAATACATTTTGTTCGTTTTTATATTGCTTTTATTTTCTGTTCGTGTATAAAACGTTTTAGTTACAGGCTCGAGGGTTGGACCGATATGATAATGAAGATTATTATATTTTAATTATGCAATGGTGGGTTTCCATTAACTCGGTTGCCAGTTTTGTTATTTTGAATGTTATTTTTTCTGATATTGTGTTATTGTTATTACCATTGTTATTTATGGTTTTAGGTATTGGTATCTTGGCGCGGGTTACTATAGCCCTTGGTAATGTTATCATATTACTCAGAACAAGAAGAATAAAAGAAAAGAAAGATAAAAGGGAGGAGCGGAGAAGAGAAGAAACAAAAAAGTCGCCATTTCCTCCCAGTTTCCCTGAAGTGTTTTCACTGCAAAGATCAAACTGCGACGATGCTACGATATTCATGACTTAAGGACGGCGAAGGCAGCCCCTGCGTGCGCTTGGAGACCCTGGGCTTTGGGGGGGGGGGGGGAGGAGAATGGAGAGGAAAGGGGGGGAGAGAGGGGGAAGGGGAGTGGAGAGGAAAGGGGAGGAGAGGGAGGGAAGGGGGAAGGGGAAGTGGAGAGGAAAGGGGGGGAGGGAGGGAAGGGGGAAGGGAGAAAGGAGGGGAAGGATGAGGGAGGGGTGAGGCGTGGGAAGGGAAGGGAAGGGGGAAGGGAGGAGAGGGAGGAAGGGGGGAAGGGATGAGGGAGGGGTGAGGCGGGGGAAAGGAGTAGGGAGGGGAAGGGAGGAGTGGGCACAAGATGGCTCTCGTGCATGCTTGCAAGACATGTGTTTAGGAATTGCAAGAGGAAAAAGAGTGATGGATAACGCGTCTCGGAACGCAGTTTTTTCATTTTATTTTCTTAGACTGAATAAAGGAAATGAAGATGTTTTTGATTTATACGCGTCCTTTTATTATGAATGAGATCATTGATTGGGACGATACATGGGAAAGGTCTGTGGATTCGTGTGGGTAGCTTAGGCCTACACACGACTCTGTGGATAGTGGCGTTTTTTTTATGTGTGTGTGTAGGTGTGTGTATATATATCTGTGTGCGTGTGTATGTATGTAGACATGCGTACCAACCGTCAGTAGCCGAGTTGTATTTTTATTTTTATTTTTTGGTCATGTTAGAGACTGCTTCCTCGCGTGACCTGCTAAGGAAGATTGGAATGGGACAGGGACGATATTCCCTCTCTGCGATAACCCCACCCCTCTGCTATAACCCCCCCCTCACTTCCCCCTCTGCTATACCCCCCCTCCCTTCCCCCTCTGCTATAACCCCCCCCTCACTTCCCCCTCTGCTATAACCCCCCCCTCACTTCCCCCTCTGCTATAACCCCCCCCTCACTTCCCCCTCTGCTATAACCCCCCCCTCACTTCCCCCTCTGCTATAACCCCCCCCTCACTTCCCCCTCTGCTATAACCCCCCCCTCACTTCCCCCTCTGCTATAACCCCCCCCTCACTTCCCCCTCTGCTATAACCCCCCCCTCACTTCCCCCTCTGCTATAACCCCCCCCTCACTTCCCCCTCTGCTATAACCCCCCCCTCACTTCCCCCTCTGCTATAACCCCCCCCTCACTTCCCCCTCTGCTATAACCCCCCCCTCACTTCCCCCTCTGCTATAACCCCCCCCTCACTTCCCCCTCTGCTATAACCCCCCCCTCACTTCCCCCTCTGCTATAACCCCCCCCTCACTTCCCCCTCTGCTATAACCCCCCCCTCACTTCCCCCTCTGCTATACCCCCCCTCCCTTCCCCCTCTCCTTGCCTATTATCCTGACCCGGGCAAATGAATTCGCGCTTGTTATTGTAGCGTTGCACACCATGCGGTTGGTCTGCGTGTGTGTGTGTGTGTGTGGTATGTGTGTGTGTGGGGGGGGGGGGTTGATGGGATGTGTGCGTTTGTGTGTACATACATTTAAAGAGAGTGTAAAAAAATATAGAGCGAATAATATATGTCACACAGATTTGCTTCTGGCCGTGGGAACAGGAGTGATTTCGCGCGTGCGGGCGGGAGCGCTGGCGTAATTGCTCTTTATCGCAAATCGATTCGCGTTGCTGTCGGAAAGATTGGCGTGTGGAAATGAATCGCGCTCCGCCACCTGGAACATCATCGAAGGAGTCAATGGCACTGGGATAATAGTTCGCGTGATGATGATGTTTGCTTGGCTTGCGTGTTGCCTGTGGAATGCTGGCGCGGAGACAAGAATCACAGTGTGTGCGTGTTTGCATTGACGTGTTTGTACAGGTAGATTTTGAGTTGTACAAAGGAAATCAACATTGGTCTTGAAATAATCAATGAATTATAAGGTGTGTGCACGTACTGACATGTTTGTAGTAGTATATATGAATTATGCAAATGAAATGAACATCTGTTATTTTGAAATTAACCCGAACTTGTTCCCTTGCAGAGACCCGCGAGACGGCGGCGGACGGCAGGTCAACCGCCACCCGAGCGACGCCGCGGCACGACTGTCGAATCTCGCCGCCCTTCTGCATCACATCAAGTCGTTCTATCAGGTAAGGCTTGTCGTTTTTTTGGGGGTCGTTTTCATGTTTTTTTCTCCCCTCTTTGTTTGTTTTATCAGGTAAGGCTTGTCGTTTTTTGGGGGTCGTTTTCATGTTGTTGTTTTTTTCTCCTCTCTTTATTTGTTCTATCAGGTAAGGCTTGTCGTTTTTTGGGGGGTCGTTTTCATGTTTTTTTTTTTCTCCTCTCTTTGTTTGTTCTATCAGGTAAGGCTTGTCGTTTTGGGGGGTCGTTTTCATGTTTTTTTTTTCTCCTCTTTATTTGTTCTATTAGGTAAGGCTTGTCGTTTTGGGGGGGTCGTTTTCATTTTTTTTTTCTCCTCTTTATTTGTTCTATTAGGTAAGGCTTGTCGTTTTGAGGGGTCGTTTTCAGGGTTTTTTTCTCCTCTCTTTGTGGTTTTCTCGCTTCTTTTCTCGGGTGCGAGAGAGGGAGGGAGGGGATGAAGAGGATGGAGAGATAGATGGAGGTTGGTAGAAAAGGAAAGAGGGGAGGGAGGTATAGGTAGGAAATTAAAAAAAAAGGATAGGTATGAAGAAGTTGAGGAGAAGAGGGGACGAGAAAGAGAGAGGTTAAAGAGAAGAGGAGAAGACAGATTTGACAGCGAGATTAAGGAGAGAGACTGGGGGGGGGGAGATCGGAAGTTTTACAGGCAGCGGGGGAGGAGGGGTCGTTTCCCCCACAACAAATGTAGGCCTATAGGGTATCGATCTTGTGGAAGCGAGTGTCAGAGAAGAGAGGGAGATAAATAGCAAAAATGGGGAAGAAGAAGAAAAAGAAGAATCCCATTATGAGAACGACGGAGAACAAAAAACTGAAGACCAAGAACAAGGAGAACAGGAAGAAAAGGGAAAACATTTGAACAGTATAACAGCTTGGAAGTGAACAGAGCGGGGGAGAGAGAGAGGGGGGGGGGCTGTGCTAGAGGAAGGAATCGGAAGGCGTTTGGATAGTTAAGAAAGGGATTTAGATGGAGATAAGGCGATAAGAAAGGAAGGAAGGCGGAAGAGACGAGGATATTAGGTGATGGAGAGAGAGAGGGGGAGGAGAGGGAGAGGGGGAGAAGGAGAGAGATAGAGAGACAGAAATCAAACGAGAAGAGGGGAAGGAGGAGGTGGATGAAGGGAGGGAGAGGCGGAGAGGAGGATAAATGTAATTAAAGGGGAAGAGAGGGAAAGCAGAAGGTGGTAACAGAAGGGATTGATGAAGGAGGGGGGGGGGGTAACCGATAAGGAGGCGAGGGAAGAATCCTCAGTGACCCCTTTGATTTTCCCTCGAGTGACGTCATCAGCCAGACGGTGGCAGTTGAAGTCCCGGATGCAAATATGTTTATTGATTCACATTCGAGTTATTAAAAATAATCTTTATTAGAGAAGAGATACTGTCACTAATATTGGAATTATTGTGAATATTAAGCACTTAATAAGACCTATAGAATGAGGTGTACGGATACAATCTATTAAGCGCTTAGACTTCTCAAAGGTGTGCGTGTACATGTGCGTGTACATGTGCGTGTGCATGTGCGTGTGCATGTTCAGCGGCGGTAAAACACAGATTCAGTGATGTTCAATGTCCATTGATCTCGACGAAAATGCCTGATCGGAGAGGGAGAGAGAGAGAGACAAGAAACAGAAACAGGAACACTACTTTAGTTTGTGTGGGAACTCGGAATGAGTGAAAACCTTTTTTTCTTTTCTTTTCTTTTTTTTTCATTGTTTCTTTTATATTTCGTTTCTTTTCATACTCGTTTTTATTGCGTGACTTACGAGAATGCGCGAGATTGCCTTGCGAGAATTGAGATCCGGGTGAGGGGGGGGAGGGGAATGAGATGCACACTGAAAGAGTAATGGAAAAAATGTTTTTTTAAATGAGAAAAAGAATGTTAGGGAAAAGCTGATGAAGATGATTAAAAAAAAAGGGAATTGAACGAGGGAATGAGAGAGGTGGAAGTGAAAAGAGGAAGGGGAATAATGAAGAGGATAATTGTAGTTCGTTAAAAGCGTGGTGAAATAAACGAATAAATGATCAGGGAGGTGAAGAAGGTTAAAGGAAATAAACGAAGAAGGAAACAGATGTGAAAGGCGGATGTTGATAAAGCAAGGAAGGTGTACAATGAATGAGGATTATTAAGGGAGGAGAGAAAAGGAGACATTAAAAGAAAAAAAATGATCAGCAGGAAAGGGGCTTGTGAAGTGAATTAGGAAGGAAAGGAGAAAAACAAAGAAGGAAAATTACATATAAAGAGAACATTGATAAAGAGAAAGAGAAAAAAATCACATAGAAACAGACAAGAAAAGAGAAAGATAACGAAACTCGAGTTCAAAGGAAAAACAGACGAAGAAGAGAATGCGTAATAATTTCGTCCTTAAAAGTTATATAGAGAGATT